GCCGCGGCTTCGTCAAGATGTTTTCCTGTGTGTGATTTTTTTATCATGATCTAGCCTTTTTTGTAGCCTTCTGAAAATGTCCTCCCGTGTGTAATTCCCCTTATAAAGATACCCCTCTTTCGCGGCACGGTTAAGATTCTGTTCCGTTCTTTATTTTTTTTATGAAGATTCTTTCTCCTCCTGGTATGTCCTCGACGTCCTGTTCTTCTGTCCCTTTGAAGATGTTCTTTGGCCTCGATTATTGTGAAAATCTTTCTTGAGGTCACATCACGGTGAAGGTTCGATTCTGGGTTCATCTTTGTCGATAGATTGTATTGTATGTCATTGTTCTTTATTAGAGATTTTTTTTCGTTATGATTCTGATGGACCTATTGTTCTTTCTCTATGTGAAGCCATTATGAGGTTATCACCTTCCTTTGACTATTTATGAGGAGGGCCACGTAAGTGCAGTATAAATAGCATGACCATACTGATGGGGTAGCAATACCAGACAGGAATAATCTATCGATGTGTGAGAGGGCACTTTTATCCCTTATGTATTATTGCTTTACCAGTGATGATGTTCATGAAGTAGTATTAAGTGAATAGCAGTGTCACCCGGATAACACTGTTAACCGAAGTGCAGAGTTGTGTCAGGGGTACGGCTTTTCTGGAGGGTCATTGTAGGAAGGTTAATCACGTGTGCGTAGTACTCATATGTACAAAGTACTGACTTGCTTATGGTTTCGTTACATGAAGAACACGAGCCCGCTTCGGCTACTGTTGTTTGCAGAATAGTCGGGTGCATTTGTGAGGGTGCTGCAGCGCCCGGATACACGTATAATACCCTTATGGGAAAAGTATTGATGCCCCTGTAGTAGTTTATGCAAATGATTCAGAGTCTACGCTTTCATTATATGAGAAACATTATTCTATGAAGTACATGGATATATCAGGAAAAATATTGCGTGAAAAATACTGATGTGTATTTATTACCAATGGTGAACATTGTGGAATTTCCCGTAGTATTGTTATATGAATGTACTAATGGATGAACTATACTTATATCTGCAGTATACCATTCTTTTAGGAGAATAGTTGTATAAGGAGTACGAATGATCTGCAGCGTTGTTATGTCAGCCATCTCACGTGTCCGTAGTATTCTTATTTGCAAAGCACAATTGTGCAGTGATAATGCATGTCTCCGAAGCACTATTATTTAAAGCGTTTCGATATACGCAGAGTTCTTTTATATAGGGGGCACTATTTTATTAAGCGTAATAATCTATCCGCAGTAGTATGTAGTGAGATAAAGGTATATGCCCCGAATATTACTTTGGGGTGGATGAAACATTGGACGTTTCGTTATTTGAATAAAACCATTGTTCATATTGGACTGATGTCTTCTCATTTGCGGTACCTTATTTTTGCAGGGGTTAAAATCCCGGCTGTAATATAAGAGCGTTGCAGTTTTACGGAATCCTGTCATGTATCTGCCGTAGGATTCTTTGAGAAAAGGCAACATGATAAAAGGAGTATTATATGCAGAGTATAGTTTCCCCTGGGATATCATTGGTGTTGATAACATTAATGTTACGAGAATAGCTTTGACAAGAGGATACGAATATCGCTAACATACAAGCCACCTATCATTTTAGGAAGAGGAGAAGAGGAAAATGAAGTAAAAAAAATGCCCCAACTGAAGTTTATACCTTGAGGGTACTGCGACATTGAGGACAATTCTCCATTTCAGGAGAAAAATAAATATATAGAGTAAAATTATATAAATTACTTAAAAGTATCGGCAGACATAAACCTGAAGCTGAAAGGAAACATGCACGGGAGAAGTAGTCCCATATAACCAAAAGGGACAAAGGTAACTTAACAAATAAGAGTACGTAAAGCAATGTTAAAAGAGAAGGAATCAGCCCAGAAGAAGGGAAGTAGGAACGGCAAAGAACAGTTACAGTAACATATGAGGTGGGATGTTCACCTGTCCCAATATCGCATCAAATAAGAGAGGAGTTGATTGCCAACTTCCATGTTTCAGAAGACACGCGATTATTCGCAGTTAGCGAGAAACATATATAAGTAAGAAACTTCTTACATATATTAATTGGTGTTCTAAATTTTTTCCTTTTTGTATTGAGCGTTATGGTTTGAATTACAAACTCTGCAATTCTATCTGTTGCTCTACGATGTAATATCCTATGATACCCTTTGTGATGTTATACATGAAAATATATAATGTTTTAAAATAGACTTATTTCTTCTTTGAAGTTCTAGAAGATTCCTTAAAACCTATTTTGTTTCTGTAAAGATATAACACACTTTCTGATGTAAATTCTGGAAGAGTTACGACATTCGGTGTCTCTACGGTTAGTGTTAAGGTGTCCCTTTTTGTTGTATCTAAAATCGTAATCATAAAATATCTATGTTGACTGCATGGGTCACTACTGGTCAAGGGTCTGACATGAAAGTTGTTTTGTTACCTGTATATCCTGTGTTACCCTGATTTCGAATATAAGGATACCAATTCTTTGGATCGCATTACTCACATCACTTTGATTTTATTTTTCCTATTCCTTTGGTGATTATGACCAAAGAGGCTATGAAAATAATGTCTTAAGTTTGAGAAGTCCTCCACCTTTTTATATATAGCACTATTTTGGCAGTAGGGAGACTCATTGAAAATGAATGAATCCAATAGACCGCGCTTTTACTCATGTAATGTGTGCCTAAATTGCGGCAGAGTGTTATATATAATTCCACGGTTCATGGATTACCAATCGGGCATAACCCATCTTGTTAAAGAAAAATGCGAAACGAGGACAAAATTATATATAATTTTAACAGGGACGGATTTTATTCAGAATGGAAGGAAGAATTAACAAATATTCCTACATAAAGTGAAACTTAAAGAAGAAAGTAAAGAAAAGAAAAAAAGGGATTATACAGAAATATATAAACATACAAATCCTACACATAAGTTTTGAGCACACCAGCAAATAAGTGCATAAAAAGAAGAACACATTTGCAGAAGTCAAGATACCTTTAGCACAGGTGCGCGAATTCTAATGTAACCAGATTCTATGTTCTTTTAAAGGGTTATGGACAACTGACATTCGCATGTGAATGAATTTCTTCGCCCATCGTGACTATATTACTTTAAATTGAGAGCTTTCCTCGGGAAAAACTTGGCCCCTAGTGCACTATATGTGCAAGTGCGCTTCCTTCTCTATAATTCCAAATTTATCGTCCCATTTCCTCAACGTAGAAGTGTTCTTAAACGATAAAATATGCAATTAGTCATATCCCCGTTGACTGCAAAGTTTAGAGATAACTAATAAGGTGATTCGGCTTCCATATTTGGGGGGATTGTTCACAGCTGTACGAACGATGTCCTGTTGTACGCTACATGGGTTTTATCATGTGTTATACTTCACCATACATGTAAAGTATATTCTAAGCTCTCACACCCATGATATCCTCCGTTATGATGTGCCCCTCTTCAATGCCATACTATATATATCTATGACATTGCAACAAAGAACAGTTTTCATTGTCCTCCTAAGGATATGCAATATCCGCAGTTTATCCATTCATCGGAATAGACGTTAACGCCAACCATGTGCATATTTTAGCCTTATTATACAATTTATGCCTTCAGAAATTGGCTCATACAAGGTGTAATGAATGTATTGAAAATGTTCTTGTTTATCCACAATTTATAATCATAAAAAATATATCATATCTTTAATACGTCAAGTATTTATGGCTTAAGCTGAAACAGCAGTGTAGCGATGTTATAGAGGCATATAAGTCTCTTACTTATTTTTTTCACGTGTTAGGGAATGATTATTCTCGTATTTCATCTGTACATTACCTGTGTCTCCGTGATTTAAACTTTTAACAGTCCTCTAATGAGTATGTTAATCGCTGCCTCTTTATTTCTTTACAATTCATTTCATAGCAAGGACTCATATTATAGAGGAAATGCAGACTATTATGGGTATAGTCACAATTTCCATTGTTCCCAATTATTCTTCTGTTCACTTATCTATTTCTGGTAATATTTCAAGTACTGAAGTCCAAAGTGGCCATAACTAGAATTATATATCCTCCTTTTAAACAGTCAACCAGACAAAACTAATATATTCGTTATAACGGAATCCGTATTGAGGAATGGAGTCATTATAAATAATATAATTAGTTGTGTATAAGTGTTTATATTGTTCTATCTCTTATATTGTGACAGAATCCATTTATAAGAGCAATGATAGAGAAAATGGGACCCAAACAGAAGGAGATTATATGATACAATAATCGAAGCATTACTTCATCGTCCTGAGATTAAATATGATACAAAACAAATGTAGCTCATTATTTAATAAAATTATGAAATTGTTAAATAAAAAAAAGAATATTATCAATGTCGTATCCTCCTGTCGCTTAATTCTCCAGTAGTGAGTGTATTAACCACCTAAAGGAAACTAAGGAAAGTCAGGTAGTTAGATTAATGACTTTAACAATGTCACACTAATCTATAATCAGAGGGGACTCCTGACCAAGGGGGTTCCTACGGCAAGTCTTATAGATTATTAGGGAATCTATAAGAGACTTCTTTAGTCCCTATGTATATTTATCCCCTATTAATGGACTCAAACATGTGAGCCTTCTTATATATAACCTTCTTACGTCATCCTTATTGTGAATTAAACTTCAGCTTTCTCAGGATGCATATATTAAAGGAAGCATAATAATGGTAACTGATGTGAGGAGTCCATATGTTATTTATACAGATATCTACAGAA